AAATATCCTGGGCTTTATTTGCACGTTCCCGTCCAGTTGCCATTTTGAAATTTTACTAGCTCGAACTCACTGCCGCGTGCAGTAAAACATTAATTTGAACTAAGTCCTTAGTTCAAATTAACTGTTACTCCTCATTCCACTAAGGACTTAGTTCGAATTAACGTTTTACTGCTGTGGGTAGCCGCGCAGCAGTGAGTTCGGGCTAGTGAAATTTAAAAATGGCGACCAGACGGGAACATGCAAATAAAGCCCGGGATATTTAAATCCCGGGCTTCATTTGCAACTCTGGTCACCTCATTTGCCTATCTAGCTTGAATTAACGAGCTAGTGTAGACATACCCTTAGAGAGGAAACCCTGACTGCCCAAGATACTGCCAGCCTTCCTACTATAGCCAATAGCTTATTTTTACAATTTAGTTCATAGTTAAACAGTAATTATAAATGTTAGGTTGCTTGTTGCAGCTTTTAGTCTTAGAGTTTTATTTGTCACTTGTATGGCATGATCTAGTTCTCCCACATTGAAACTTTGCCTCTCATGTGAAGGAGTTATCCTAACTCAGATAGACACTCAAAGTAACTCTGTTGTTTGGGAGAATCACACTTTTCCAGTATGATCTGTAAGTCCTCCAGCTCCCGTGATAAGGACATGGAGGCCCACCTTCAAATCTTCCTGACATTAAATCTATGAAACCCACTTCCAAGCTGGGCTTGCTAAACTCCATCAGAGCTCAAGAACTTAAGTGCCAAGATTATTGCTATTGAGAGCCCCAACTAGAAACCTGGCTATGATAGCAGAGTTGTCCTCTGGCAGACTGCAGGGAGACAGAAGCTCCACAGGTAGATTGCTGAACAAGACTTCCTCCAAGAAGAAAACCTCCCTGGGGCACTGAACGTCATCTGAGACTCTAGAAAAGTGCCTGCCAAAACTCAGTCTTGTACTACTTCCCACTTGATGGCACCAAAGCCCCTGCCATCAAAATTCATGACTTTGGGGGGAAATTTGGCATCAGCTATGGCACTATTTACCTCAACAGCCCCAATGCCAACTTCCTTGATACCTGAACCAAGCTGACCAGGGAATCAGACTATTACCATTAAAAGGATTGTGATACCACCCTGAGAAAACTTGGATCCATCACACCAATCTACATCTCTGCACAGAGCACTGGTCAGGTATGTTTCCCGATAGAAATGGACATACATCTGAAACTGCTGCCCCCTTGTTCACTTCATCAGTACTGACAGCACCAACTCTATCCATCAATACAGCACCATTAGCACACTGAGGGCCCTGGCACTGCCTATGGATGGGGCATACACATTGTCTGCATTATCTCCAGCAATGGAAACAGAGGAAGAGCCACACTAGTGTCGTCTTTGTTCACCAGATTCTCTTTACAACCCTCCACATCTTACATAGGCTGGATGCCTCTCATGAAACAGATACTGGGATTTGCAGAGTCTGAGCCTATGGTTTTCTACCCCCTTGACCACCAAGCTTTTATCCATTCATGTACAGATGAAAAGTAGACATCTGGCTAACTAAAATAATTTTGAACTACAGATGTTGCTGGACCAGAAAGTGCTGGACTAGAGAGGTTCAACCTGTAGTGTGATTTATGTTAAGTTTGTATCCACTGTATATTGATAATTAACACACTGGAGATTCATTAATATGTGCATGTTTTGTTGTTGTTTTGTTTTTTACAGTTAAATATTGCAGACATATAGATGCTTCTAAATTCAGGGTGCCAAATCTTGCAGTCCTGACTTAGATCTTATTCAGGCAAATCCCAATTCACTTTACTCCATTTTGGCCCAATATAATCAGAATATAATGGAAGTCAGTGAGAACTCTGAGTAAGAGCTGCCAAAGCATTTGGTCTTATATTTTTAAGTTTGTTTCCTCTAAATCAGTAATGTTTTAACTAATGCAGTTTAACCACGGCAGCAAACAGAAAAAAAAAGACAGTTGTTCTGTCTTTTACTTATCATTGGCAAAGGTCTTGAGTTATTGTCTAGTAGCATTACCAACACTCCCACTGCTTACTGGGCTCCTAGAAGACAGTTAGGGATAAATTAGAGCTAAATAACAGCACAGAACATTGGGAGGCAGGACTGGTGGCTGTAAACAACCTTTATTTCATAAGTAAAGTTTTCTGGGAGAAATCCTAGTGTCATTGAAGTCAATGGCAAAATGGCATGATTTCATCCACTATTATTTAATGGGACAACTATCCTCATGAATCACTGCTTAAATCCAAATACTTGAAACAAATATAATGTTGCTTCAAAATTTACATGGGAATAGACGGAAAGGAAGGAAATCAATTTTATCTATATCTGTGGTAAGTAATGCAAGATTGCCTGGTACAAGTCTATTCTACTAACTTTCTTACTCCATTAATTTCACTGGAATAACATTGAGAGTTTGGTCTAGCACCAGGGGTAATAGTTGAAAAATAAGAGTGGTAAGTAGAGTGGGGTTTTTTTTAAACAAAATTATTCATTAATCTGGTATTGCTAAATTTACCCTACCAGTGCTTGGTGACATTGGCATATCGGAATGAAAAGTTTACATATTATTTTGATAATCTTTTTGAAATTGTACAACACGGCTTTACAGTAATCTAAAGGAAATTTAAAGTTATCTTACTGTAGCTGTGAGAGCATAACCACATAACAAATCTTAAATTTACAAAGACTCATTTCAACAAAAGAGTGTTCTTTTCAACTATTGCTAAAAGTATTTTTTTCACAGAACAAATAGATAATCTGGATTAATCAACAAAGAGTGAGTATTTTCAGACATGGAAGCTACAAATCCATGAATGCTTTGCTTTTTCCTGTCTTTTTGTATCATCCCTGCTCCTGAAGGGAAATGTTTCTTTTGTTATCTCCAGCTCTTCAGTTAATTTCTGTAGGAACTATGCAAGAGCCATAGATTAGATTGGTTGTGCAGAAATGATTTTTCAGCTTTGCATATAGTGTAACCATTAAACAAAGTAGGTACCTCTTTTGCAGTTCGTATTGGTTTCTGACCCTCATAGATTATGTTCTCACTTCATTAGCTATTTGGTAGTCTCTAAGGTGCTTCTAGACTATTTGTTGGGGGGGGGGTTGTTTGTGTTTTTTTTTGTTTGTGCATTTTTCAGACAATGAAACCTAATCTTGTTATCTTTATGGTATTTCCATCCTGTGCATGTATTCATATATATTTTGTTTAATTATGTGTTTACATTTTGTATATAGAAATACAAATCAATTTTAGAAAAAAGTATGCACCTGAAAAATCTATGGCACTGTTGCCCTATTAGACAATTAACAGCAACAAAACACAAGAAATTTTTATAAAGTTGAGATCAATGCCTAGCTTCAGTTTGGTCTATGGAAATTTTGCCAGTGACTTCAATGCGGCCAGGATTTCACTGCTTTTTCTGAAGTGATAGGAAAAAAGTGTGAAATTATGATTGTACTATATAACTGATAGAGTTATATAAACAACATTAAAAGGATCAAAGTATTTGAGAATATAAAGTTTAATGTTGAAATCTTATTCAGACTGCCTGAAAACAATTTTTGTTTAAGTATATTTTGAGTATTATCATTGTTGTCTTTGAAAAATGTAATAGCACGTTTTACAGTAATTTGTCATGATTAGGAGCTGACATTCTGGGTAAGTTAGTGCTGGAGAAATGCAATGCCTAAAGGAGGGGGGGAGGGGAAAGATATGGCAATCTTCTGAAACAACTATCAGCAATGTAAAAGAGCACTATCACTCTAACATGCCCAACACACTAAACACTTCCTGCCATGCCTTGTCTTTCCTTGATGCTACTCACCTAGTGATGTTTCAGGCTTAGAGAGAGTTGAAATTCCTGTAACATATTGAATATGCTAGGTGGAATTTGAGATAAATCAAAAGATGGCTTTGCTACTGTATGCAGGAAGTGTGTGCTTGATCTTATTTAATAGTTTCTTAATGTGCATGTCTACATTGTAGATTCTGCCCATGTTTGTAGTTTTTAATAAGAATGATACATTTTTGGTTTTCTAATGAAAAAATGACAGTGAGTATAAAAGTAGATGAAAGATACTTTTAGGTTTGGAAATCAGTAGTGATTATTGGGAGTGTAAACATTGACACAAAATTCAATGCTGGGGCACAAGTAAAGGGTTCGGTGATGTGGGCTTTAAGTTTAAGAATATTCCACCATGTTACTTTTTACATTGTTCATGTGTATAATAACTTTGTATCCTACAAGTCTTTATGTTCAGTGTAAATTGATGTGGAAGCTAGGGATATAAAATCCTGTTTAAAATGACAGCCGGGTATGTTTAACCAGTTAATTGTCACACCACGGGCAGGGGGCTGCTGGAGCAGCTCTCCACTTGCAGAGCAGCATGGTGAGCCCAGCCATACTGGAGTGTCCCCTACCCATAATGTTGTGTGGCAGGTCTGGTTATCTCCTGCTTATCAGGTAACTGGTTACCCATTTACATCCCTAGTGGAAGCTATGCATGAGCATTATTAATAAAATTAAGAACACGGGATCAAATTAACGTAGCATTACTCTCAGAGACTTAAGATCAAGTATGATCCTTAGCATGAAAATTAAACATGTAACTATACACTTTTCTCTTTGAACTTGGCAGCTGCATATCTCACTAATGCAGAATCTAGTTACTTTTCACTTTTTGTCCTTCTTACTTTTAACTGGACCTTACCGGCTAGTCCATGGAGCTATGCTGACTTATATCAGCTGAGGATCTGGCTCTATATGTTTAATATTCCACAACTTCACCGCACAGGGCAATAGGTATATTTCAGGTTCTTCCATTACAATATTAATGAATCTAGTATCACATTTCAGAGCCAGTAATGCCAAATGATAACTGGACCATTAAACCATTGCTGACAAAGACCAGATTATTTTTCTGTCCATTTTTACTTTAACAGAATAGAAGTATTGTTAATTATAATATCTGATTTCTTTCAGCGCAATCCCCCCTTGGTGGTCAATGATCTGTTTGAAGATATCAAAGATGGGGTTATGCTTCTAGCCCTTTTGGAGGTTCTTTCTGGTCAGAAACTGGTAAGAATTTCCCCCCCTTTAAATTGAGATAAGATGGTTTTTTGAACTTGTAAGTTGATTATTATAATTAAATAGTTTTCTTGTGTGTGTCTGTGTGTGGGGGGGGGGAGGGGTTTCTACATTGTAATACATGAAAGACAAGATGTGCCTGTGTCTTACAGCATAAAACAGGATTATAGTTCTGTGCTCTGCTGGGTTAAGGTATATGGAATACTTTATTACAGAATAATATTCTTTATTTTACTCCCTATTTGTGATACACTAACAATATGTATACGATATCTGTTGCTATTCATTTTGTCTTAAGCAAATAATGATTATTTATACGCAACTTATCTATCATTATGTGTGTATATGTGTTTCACTGGAAACTTATCTATCATTATGTGTGTATATGTGTTTAACATTAAAAAAGCATTTTTGTTGTGCTTGTTCACTATCGTCATCATCAGACGATCAGACAATCACAAATCTTCAGTGTCAGTAGAGGGACAAAAAGAATGCACAACATTTTTTCTGTACATTTCACGGAAATAGTGTTTATCTTACTTGTTTATTCATTTATTTATGAGAATGGTGGATAGTTATAATTATCTAGGGCCTGATTCTCATTTTCACTGACACCTCTTTGTCCTGCTCTTCCAGTGAATAGGGCCTAAATTTACACACAGAATTGTATAAAAAGGCTTTGATGTAAATTAAAATCAGTCCTTAATTCTGGGGCTAAGTTGGCTCTATGAAGGTTTGCAGAGGTAAGTACGGTTATCCTGTAGGAGTTCTGGTACCCGCGTCACTAATACAAAAGTTTGAGAGCCACTGGAATGGAGATCCAATCCTTCCCTGAACTCATCCTAAAGATCAGGAATTCCATCCTCCCTCCTCCTATATTAAAATGCCATATTTCAGTCATTATTTTTTATTTCTAGCTAGCTGACATCTGCCTCCATAAATTATAGGAAGGCATTTTGATTACAGATCACAACCAACAGTCAATTATAAAAGCTTTACAGTCATTCTGATTGTGGGACTAGGCTACTGGTCAGTATGGTATTAAGCATACTTCAGGAAACTTCATTTGAATGAAGATTGCTCAATCTGAGTTATATTTTCTGAAGGGTTACTTGGATTTCTGTTTTGTTGAACAACACTGTAGTTTCTCTGACTATTCTGTGCTTTTCTGAAAGGGAAGTCTCCCCCTTGAGGTAAAATGCTATTACTGATCTAAGAAAGGAACTTTACTATTGTCAATAGTGATATTGAACTTAATTATATTAAAGCCAACATAAACACACTATTGAAAGAGAAGAGGCAATGTAGATCCAGAAAAAAATACTGAACTACATTTGCTGAAAAGATAGGCAAGAGAGTAATAATAGATAATGTACAGGTTGAAAAGGAATTTTCATCCAGAATGATCCCAGAGTGTTTTATAATCTGTATTTAACTATTAGTTAGGATTGCTTTCTTTGGAAATTCAGCCAATACTGAGGTGAAAAGTATTTGGTGTTTTATCAAGTGTAGTGCACAGGAACAGTACACTACAGTTTAAGACAGGAAGTGAATAATATTAGAACCCACAGAAACTGCAGGGGGAATTTTAACATCCATAACAGACTTTTGTTAAAGTTATTTTTGATTTTCTGAATCGGAATGAAAATGGAAATAGTTAATGATCCAGTGATATCAAAATGCAGATTGCCTATTTGGTGCATTTGGTCTGAATGAATTGCTCAAGATAGGGGGAAACATATGGACCTCTGAATCTCAGAGATCCAATTTTCAGATACAACATTTGCATGAGCTTTAAAACTTGTCTAATTCAAACTGTACTTTGATTTCCAATGTACTGAAGACATTTCTTTCTTGATAGAGTAATGTATCACAGTATGTTTAGATGTAAATTTAAAATATCACTTGCAAAATTTAAAAGTTTAGGATATATAATGCTTTAATGACATTAAATGAATTGTATATCTCCCTTAGCCTAGGAGACTAGATTTTTGGTAAAATCCACTGTTCAGCAAGGACTCATAATAGTTTGCTGGTATCAGAAACGCCATGAACAATATTTGTTAGAGTTACCTTGGAAAAAAGAGAAAAGATCCACTACATCTATTGATTGTTTAAAATAATAACTTGATGATTGATACCTTTGGATTACAATACATGGATCTAAAATTTAAGCAAAGCTACAAAGTCCATCTTCTATATTGCATCTGTCATTTTTAATGTATATCCATTTGCAAATACAAAATACTGATTTGTGTGCATTCAGCAATATTCTCACATATCAGTCAGGTCAGCACACATATACAACTGCTCTTTATAATGACCTGGCAATCAATTTGAAAGAATGTTGGTATAAGTCAAATTGTAATTTGCACTTTTGTTTCTTTAAGCCTTGTGAGCAGGGACGTCATCTGAAGAGAATCCATTGGGTGTCTAATATTGGCACTGCCCTTAAATTTCTAGAAGGAAGGCGGGTAAGTGTAATTAATATTTTGACAGCAGCTCCATTTTGTTTTCCTCAATTGTTCTTTCTTGAAGTCCATAGTCTATCTTCACCTAATTGCTCTAATCTTGGAGAGTCTGAGCTACAAAGAATCCTAAATATCGAAATGCAGTATAGGTATACTTTAAAGGCATGACACAATGAAATCCTATTTCTCCCATGTTCCAAGGTATAGCATTTATAGTGCAACCTTTTTGGAAATTGAGCAACTATTAATGGACTCCTTAATTATTATTCTCCAGTTTATTTTCTGAGATCCTATTATGAATAGAGATAAAAAGCTGCACTACCTGTTGAGACATTTGAAGTAAATAACACATCTGTAATTAAAGCACATCTCCAAACCTAGTCTACTATATATTTTTCAGAGTTTATGCATCTGTCTGTCCGTCCATCTGTTTCTGAGTCTGTTTGTTCAAGAACTCCTCTTAAACAGCTAAAAGTAAGACCATCAAATTTGGTATGCAGCTTCCTCTTATCATAACTTAAAGCAAGGTCAGGCCTTGGATGTGCCAGGACAATGGGATATGCGTGTTTGTTCTGGCTCAAATGGAAAGGGAGGGGTGTGATAGGAGGGACAGTTATACTTAGGAATAACCATAGGGGGCAGCAAGCTCATCAGCCGTGAGGAGCAGCCTCTGGCTGGCAGCATGGCCCCTGCCATTCTAGCCTGCCCCAAGGAGCAGCTGCTGGTTGCCCCTGGACTACCGTACTGCGCAGCCCCAACAACTTTGGGTTGGCTCCAGGGAGCACCCCCATGAGCTGGCCCTGGGAAGTTGCCAGCAGGTGTCCTCCCCAACCTTCCGAGACTGTTCTTGGAGAAAAACCAGTGGGCAGACTGAGAATCCTCTCCCCACCACAGGCTGGCCTCGGACCTGGGCAATACTGGGTAATTCTTCTAATTAAATTATATCTGCAAAAGTAAATTCCCATAAAGAATAGATGTGAGAACTTTATTCTGATCATTATTTCCCTGACTGCATTCAGGTCAAGGTCCAGACTGATTCTGGAGAAACCAGCACTTTTGCCATTTTAGTACCAAAAATGGAACAAAACACAACAAATAATATTCCAAACATTCTGGGTATACATGCCAAATAAAGTAATCCTACTACTGCGTGTGTTCCTGAGTCCCACCCTCCTGCTATTTCTACTCCATTTACTTATGTTTTATCTTTTTTTTTTAACTTAGATGTCTTTAGTTCCTTTTTTACATTTGGCATTTTTAAATACATTTCTGCAACACCAGAATGCATCTGATAGCATTGTGATAAGAGAGACTAAACTTATGAACTAGCAGCCATCAGGTACCATCCGTGATTTTGGCACACTTTGCTTCCATCTCACACTATGATATATCTGACCTAATTACTTTTCTGTCACAGAAGAGACAGTCATAGAAGCTCCCTATAGAAATAAATTCACCTCAGGTTGCTTTTGTTTTTGTTTGTTTTTGTTTTTCGTTTTTGTTTGTTTGTTTGTTTTTCAGCTCAGATGTGGGTGGAAAGGTAGAGTTCAAGAAAGGACAAACATATTTTCAAAACAAAATTTTGGTTTACCCACCTAATGAAGTTTGTTAATATAAATTGTGCTACAGCAGCTGTTCATCCTGAGAACTTTGTGCTTAAAGGGCTGCCTTGCCTTCTTTTGTTTTTGTTTTTCGTTTTTGTTTGTTTGTTTGTTTTTCAGCTCAGATGTGGGTGGAAAGGTAGAGTTCAAGAAAGGACAAACATATTTTCAAAACAAAATTTTGGTTTACCCACCTAATGAAGTTTGTTAATATAAATTGTGCTACAGCAGCTGTTCATCCTGAGAACTTTGTGCTTAAAGGGCTGCCTTGCCTTCT